TAGAGAATGTGGTTTTACAGGATTAAAGCCAAATGCTGGCACCCTCTCATACAGTGTATCCCCACAGCAGCTAAGCAACAATCATCCAGAAATGTTCTGCTGCACATATCTTATTACTTAAATTAATTCTATAACATGAAATTATTATCAAAAAATGGCATCTAATTCATCTCACTGGGTTACAGAGGGAATCCCACAATTTACAAATTCATAAAACACCAGAAACATGAAAATTTTTCCATTTTTTCCCACCACTTTTGTCACATCACCTGTTATGGCACACAGAGATTTTCACTAAAATTGGCTTATATGCCGCAAAGTATTCAATGACAGATTTGACACTATATTTTGAAATTGTTTGAGTAACTCCTAATTATGATTTAGTGATTAAATTCCATAATTCTAGCCGCAAAAAAGTAAGGCAAGATTTAGAAGTCTCAAAGACTGTTGGAATAAATTAGTTGTGAGTAATAATTCCTGTTCAATGTCCTGTACTAAAATCCTAAAGAACAATGGTACCCTGTGGACTGTAATAACAGGTTAGATTGTTAATGTTAAGTAAAGGAGGTGCATAGGGACCTGTGCTGTCAAAAGCAGTACAGCATGTTGATCACTGTGACAATAATGCAACTTCCATTCCTAATACTTAGAGGTGATTAAGAGACAGAAACAGGGCTGTTTTTTCTCAGTAGCATTTTTACTGCCTGTAGTTACTATATACATACCTGCACGAAATTATATGTATATATACTATTTGGCCACTGGTAAAAAGAGAATGTCCCTTAGCCTTGGTGTTCCCTTGTAATAAGATGTCAGCTTGTAGTCTTTGCAATAGCAAAATGCTCATGTGAGGAGAGGAAAACTGAAAATGAAAAATCATTGGTTGTGGCAGGAGGGCATCACCCAAACAGTGAAAGACATTGAGCAAGCTATCTGTGAAGAGTTACCCTGTGTGCGAGGGTGCTGTTTTGGGTGTTGAATTATGCTAAAACCATCCTTGTTCACCAAACCGCAGGCACACATTCTGCTTTTTGAAGTTGGATGTGACAGATAAGCTAGTAGCTGGCCTGCAAATTTGTGACTAGCAGCCAATCACTTTATACTATAAAAGACCAGTCCGCTTTCAATGCAGTCAGGTTCTTCTAACCCTTCTTGGGGTGTATGTGTGGAGATTCATCCCTTGGCTGGGGAGGCACTCCAAGGATACTCCTCGAGGTTGAGCAAAAGAGATCTCCCCAAGAGCACTGGTATGGGTGAGTTACATCAAATCTCTACTTAATAACTATTTCCTTTTGCTAGCTTTAATATAATTGCTTCAATATAGTGCACTATCCTATCTTATATTATACTACTAGTATTTTTAGCTTTTATATTGTGTAGTAAATAATTCTAAGATCTTTTGTCTGATCAGTTGTAATAATAAATGATTCATTTTATATAAATATTCTCATTTTGCCAAGCATTAAAACCTGCAGGACAAAAGGGGTTCAATCACATCTCAGTCATTCCTTAAATTTAAACCTTGACATAATCTGAGGCTAAGATTTGATCCAGCCACACATAGGCTCCTCTCTGAGAAGGAGCTTAGAAAGCAAGGGAGTCCTTTCTGCACCTCGTGACTCAACAGAAGGGCTTCTTTAATAAATTTTGTCTAAGCCTTCCACTCCGACCCGTGACATGGGTTCAGAACTTTTATCTCCCAAGTACAAGTGTAATACACTAACATGACTATTCTTCAAACATCTTAAAAGCTACTGGAAATAAAATGCAGAAACCTTTTCCATACAGGGGCCAGTGTTTAGCTTGGCAGAACCTGGGACTTTGGATACAGTCACCTCCAAGGAGGTACAACAGGAACTCAACAAATCCTCAGTACCTTTTGTTATGCTCTTATAGAAAAAACTCTCCCCTCCTTACTAATCACTCTGGTTAGTGAAGAAAAAGGCCATCATTTACAGCTTCACCTTTTGTCCCCCGAATCAAATGGTGGAAGTTTACAGTAGGAATAATTCAATGTGACAGCTTATCATTTTGCCCAGTGGAGGTCTTCACTGAAGTGTGGCTATGAAAGCGATTTCCATGTTGATGATGACTGAAGCCTTTATGATTCAGATCCAAACTTGTTTAAAAAAAGCAGGAGGATCCAATTATAACACACCATGAGTATCTTCCCATTTCAAAGGAAGTGAAATTGAGATGATATATAGCACACATGGTACTCAGACTCTTTAAAAGAAAGCCACATAAAAAATGTCATATATAGTGGCATATTGTAATAGAAGTGCTTGTAAACTCTTATTTGCACATGTTAATAAGACAGCAATGAAAATCCAATCAGATCTAAAGCTTGGCATTGTTATTTCTCAGCCAAAGGCTTTGTTTTGAAGTGCAAAATACAGAGAAATAAACTTGATTGTGGGAAAACAACAAACTTGATTACATCTCAATCACTGGAAAAAACAAAGCCAACCCTAAGAAAATTCTTTGAATACTATTCTAATTTCCTATGATTACACAATTGTTACGCTGCCTGCAACACAATCTTCCTGTGATTAAAAAGCTAAATGTAAGACATACAATTTTAATTTATATGAGGATGATACCAGTGTCCAAGGTAGCAGAAGAGAGAAACAGAGTGAGAATACATCATTTATATAAAGAAAACATATATACATAACCATATCTAAAACAGTTATTTATGCTAAAATATATTACGAATACAGATTTTATATATATAATAAATGCAATATATAATACACAATATATATACATAAAGCATAACAATATTTTCACATAATGAAAGGCCACTATATATAATATTTTTATGTGGCATATAGCATATGAAATATTTAAACGTTTATGATGTGTTATAGAAAGAAATAGCTTCTAAATAGTAACTTTTATATGAAGTTAACTTCCAAAGTAAGCTGCTTGACATATAGGAAGTCTTAAGTCTTATTTTTCATAAATGTATTGTAAAGCTTTGATTCTAATTAACTAACTCTGTAAGTTACTTGTAATTACATACTAATACATTGTAAAAGCTTAAATCTGATTAACTTCCCTATAATAACTGAATTATTTCTAATAGAAACTCACATAAGTGGGTTCAATCATTGGGATCAATATACTGTCACACAAGCTTAAATTTTTCCACTGGGGGAAAAGCAAAGACTTAATTAACTGTATCTTCACATTCTTTCTTCCAAGTTAGTGTACATTTCTAAAAAACAAATATTCAACATAAAACCAAGCAATTCAAACTGCCAAATACTAACCACAGAAGTTTGTTTTAATTTCAGATATGTGTGAAGAGACAGAACAAACTTCATCCCTCTGACAGCAGCACATGGGTGCTGTGTTTCCCAGTTGTTACCATGTTGGTAACAGAACACTGTTTTGGCTGCTGGACAGGGCTTACACAGCATCAAGGCTTTCTCTCCACACTCTTCCCCATAAAGGCCAGGAGGATGGGGGTAAGAATTTAGATGGCAACATAGCTGGGGTAGCTGACCCAAACTGATCATAGGAAATCCCATACTGTAGAACATCATGCCCAGCAATAAAAACTAGAGAATGGAGGAGGAAGTTTCTCTTCTTAAACAACGATTACACGTGCTGAGGGCCTGTTTCCCAGGGAGCAGCTGGACATTTGCCTGCTGATGCAAAGTAGTGAATGAATTCCTCTTTTTTTTTTTTTTGGTTTACATGTGCAGCTTTTGCTTTTCTTATTAAACTGTCACCTTAATCCACAAGTCTTTTCACCTTGCTTCTGGTCTTCTCCGCATCTCCCAGGAGAGGGAAGAGAGCAAAAGGTAAGGGTAGGTGTTTGGCTGCTGGCCACGGTCAACTCACCACAACTTGTTTAGTGCAAATGGATGTTTACATTTCAGGAAGAGAAGGTATTTTGCAAGACCAAAGCAGTACGTCATACTTCATTTTTTACAATAGCATCTATCTCTTTGAGTCTCCTAATGTACAGTAGGAAATGAAAAGCACATGCATTTCTTTACCCAGCAGATATTTGTTGATGATACCCAAAGTCACTCAGCTTGTGGAATCTTCATCCTTGGAGATATTCAGAAGTCAATTCAGAACATGGCCCTGAGTAACCTGATTTAGCTTTGAAGTTGGCCCTGCATTGAATGGGGCTTGGACCACATGAACTCCAGTAGGTGCCTTTTACCTGAATTATTCTAGGGTTCTGTGATCTTGTAGTCTTTGCTTCTTTCATAGCTGTATTTAAAAAAGCTATTTTCAGATTTTCAGCTGAATGGGTTTAACATACAAGTAATTTTAATGATAAGCCATGTTGCCTGTGTTCAGGAGTTGGGCTACTTGCTCTTTCCCTGTCTTTCCTAGTATTTTCCTTTTTTGCCAACAAAGAAACTATTAATCAGAAGCAACATAAATAAACACACATAAGTGGATGAAAAGGTAGGGCTCAGAGGAAAAGGCTGCCCTAATTCTGAATTACTCTTCTCAGTTTGGAAAAAAACCCAACAAACAAGGAAACCCAGTAAGCAATATTTTAATAAAGTTTGAGCATTTATTACATGCACAGGTATGCAAACATGCTTTAGTTCTCTGAGGAATTCAGTGAATCCAGAAGGCACTGAAGCCAGAAAGCACAACTTCTAGTTGCAAAAAGGTCTCCATAACACTCTAAGAAACAGACAAAGTGTGTGAAGAGTTTCCTCTATTCAAGGCAGCCCTACTATTGATCTGTAGGATGAATCTGACTTACAAGAACTTTTCACCTCCTCCTCTGCCTGTGAGTGGGGAGATTTGAGACATGCCTTCCACTGCACCCTACACAGTCTACAATTTAAAGCCATCCTCTCCATTACCTATGCATGGTTCCCACTGCTAAAAAGGTAGGACCACCTTGACATGATCACTGACAGTGTCAGGACCATCTTTTCTGTATCACTGTATATTTTCAGACTATGCAGGACATATCAGTGTACCATACCGTGGGTGATCTCTCTGCAACTTACCTGTCAATAATGGCACACATGTCAATGGTGACATTAGCAAAGCTTCCCAGCTGGCCTTGCTCCACTGCGTGCAAATCCACCAGCTGATCATCCACATGAATAAACTGCATGCATCCTTGAAAAGAATGCTGAAGTAGCGCGTGATCCGAGTCATTCATCTGTACAGGAAACCCTGCAGAGCACCAAAATAAAGAGCATTATTAAGTGCATATATTATTACTCAAGCCAGTTTTTTTTACAGGAAAAGAGAGATGTTTTCTAGATGAGAGAAAAAAAGGCAATGTAGCAATGATTTATTACACAGTTATTCATTAACATGGAAATTTTATTAAGTAATTGGCAACTACCTGAAAGAATTTACATAGTACAGCTGATGATCAACCAATTTTTGTCTAAAGAGTGGAAGTTTTCTGCTACCCTTTCCTCCTCCAGTTCTCTACTGCTGTTTCTCATTCTTTCTCTCTCATACAAATATTAAGGGAATAGGAAAAGGATTTATCTCCCTGCTATATTTTAGGAATCACATTCCAATTTCTCTGATTTTTCTGAATAAAAATATATTCCATGTATACCATGAAGTGAATTTCCAGTTCAGCTTTCTCTAGAACCAGGCTTCATATTTTTGTCACTTTATCTTTTTGTTCACGGGCAATGAATACTTGTGCTGGAAACTTTCTGTAAACTTGAAAATAGCCCTAAAATCTAATGTCCTGGACCACTTCTGAGGAATCTGAGGACATTTTATAGTGTTTTCAATTTCGCTCTGAATATATTTATTTTCTTGTCTGTTTGAAGGTGGTTTATAAGAGATGAGAATGAATTAGTGTCTTGCTCAGGCTAAAAGGCAAGGAGACAGAGGATGTTTGTATGCAATTGTCTAACAGAATGCCCCTCAGAAGTAAATGTGTCAATATACTTGAGAAAAATGTCCTCGATAAGACAGTGGAGAACCTCATTCACTACTTATAAATCTTTAACAATGACCTCCGTGAAAAACCTTCAAGAAAATAATTTAGACAGAATCTGTTCAAGAGGTCTATGAGATCAGGAAGGAAGAGAGAGGGGCTAACAACAATTTATTGGTAAAAAAAGGTAAAAAGTCTGAAAATGCATAATGGTGTAGCAGAGTTCAGCTAGGTAGATGACCAGCCATTCAGTACTTGTCTGTCAAGGGTAAAAAAATCACACACATTTGTTTTGGTAGCTAAGACATTATGCAGCTCCCATTCCTTCTCCCACTTTCCCAGCCAACTTGCCTATCTGCAATGTCTTACTGCCTTCTCCAATAGCATTTGTGGAGACAGGAGAATTACAGATTATCAAACTAATACTTTGAACAGCAGCAGGAAAAAAGGGAATGAACATATTTTTAACTTCCGTTCCCAAAATCACTTTATCACATATCGCACAAGCAGTTGAATTGGCTGAAAGGGAGGGTAATAAATAGAGGACAGAAAGAAGTAACTGTGGCTTGAGGACAGATGATGCCTACTTTGGTACCCCAAGTTAAACATAAGTCTTTCCCAAAATATAATCAAGCCACATTTTAACTGAAAGGTTTTGTCAGAGCTTTTTAAAGGTTTCCTGAAACAACCTTGCCCATCATCTAAATTTACTATTGGTAGCTCCTAAATTTCCCCTACTCACTTCAGTAAACATTTACTTCAGAGTTCACTGGTGGTGGCACAGAATTAATCAGAGATGCTATAGTAATTAAGCAGTGACAAAGCTAAAACTTAGCTCTGTGGGGAGAGTAGCTCTGACAGGTATTTTAAGGAGTTAGGCAAAGGCTTGCCTTGGGGTCATATCACCTCTGGAGTAAAATTGCAGGGAGTTATAAACTGCTGTGAGGAAGATAAATAAACCCCTCACACTAATACACATCCACTGGAGAAGGAAAGCTCCTAGGGATCCCCCAAATGCCTAACTAGTGCATAATAACCTCATTTTTATTTTGGACTGGCAGAAAGATCAAGTTGTAGGGACATTATTTATATTGTCTTCCCATCGTGTGCACTGACTAGTGACTTATCTGATGAAAAGGGCTTTCAGAAACCTGCCTCCAACTTTTTTCAAGTTTTTTTCCCAGTAACTGATTAAACTGTTAAAGGCTTTACAGACAACAGTACAAAGAGACAAAAGTGCAAGTTAATTCTCTGTTGTTTGGAGGATGCAAGCACAATATTTGCATGTTCCTAATAGGTGCTTTCTCCGGTTATATTTAAGCAGGTCACTCTTGCAGTATAACTGTCTGTTTTTTAAACTGTCACTGAATGTTCCCTATAACTGCTTCCAAACAAGAATCCCCAAACTAACACCAAGCACATGGCCATTTAGGTCTTCAGTGCATTAGCAGAGCTGTGCAGGAAACCTGCGTATCATCTTCCAGTTCAGAGCACTTCCACAATTCCTTTGTTTTAAATATTAAATTCAAATTTACCAGCACTGGGATAAATTCTTAGCAATGTTCATGTAAACCTAGCAAAGCCAGAGAAATTATACAGATATATCTGAATATAATGAAAGATTATCCACCATCCTTCAAACACTAACTGAAAAGTAGATCAAAACCAAGAGCCACAATTCACTCTTCACATCATAAAGAGTATGAACTAGACATCTAAGTTACAAATGTATTATCAGATTCAACAATATTTTTAAGCAAATTGTTACTAATACTTGATACCATTCGAGAACGAACCACACAGGTATTCCAATATGTGATTCTCAGCTTCACTGCATCTAAGTATCAATTCTTGGCATACACAATATTAGTGCACAGTTATCACTGCTCTCTAGTACGTTCTCTGTGCTTTGCTACTGGTTGAACCTGCAGACAGGAAGGTGGCAGCTGGGTCTCTCAGCCTTGTTGGAGACCCCAGGTCCCGGCGTTCATTGACTGGAGAAGAATAGAGTCGTGGGATGGAGTAGCTGGAGGTGGCAGCTGCTCCAACCTAACTACATAAATCAAGCTTTCCTCTATTACCCAAGAGAGTGGGGTACACTGAGCATTAGTCATCTTGAGATTCTGATTTTTGCTGTAGCTATCAATGGATGAAGGCTGTAATTTTCTCATTCATATGTCCTTCTTTTGCCTGTCTTGCTGCTACTCCATTTGCTGTTTTTAGTCATGTGAGAAAACTGGAAGGGGGTGGGGGGTTTATGCACTATTACAGCACCTTGCATAAAATGTCTGTGAGGCTGACTGGGTGTCAAGGCATTTCAGTCATGCTATACTATAATAATGGCCAGTCTTCGCGAACGAAGATCTGGGGAAAGGTCTTTTACCTTTCCAGCCTGCGCAATGGATTTTTTAGGTGAGACACAGCCTGCGCTGAACTGAGCCCACCCTTTAATCCTAAGGTTCATCTGCCGGGGCCAAGCAAGCTTGGACAATGGCAGTGAGGTCCTCAGGACGTAGGTTTGTTTAGAGTGACCTTCTCATAGATGGATGGCCTTACAGGGCTATCGGGTTCCATCTGCCCGGGGGACTGGCTGGGATTCGAACCTGGGTCGCAGAGGTGAGAGTCCTGCATGCTAACCACTAGGCCACCAGGGGTCCCCTCATGCTAACAGATAGTTATGCAGAGATAATTTCAAAAGCAACCAGATAAACCCTGTATATAAAACCTACGCTGGTTTTGAACTACTAGTCTAATGCCCATTAATTTTGGTGGGACCTGAACACTTAAGATAATTCCAGTGATAATCATTTGAGCAACACTTCTGCTTGAAACATAAACCTCAAAATGACCTAGTACCTTGTGGCTGTTAATTCAATACACACGACAACATCTTCTCCTTCCAGATTTCCATTATTGAGACATGAGTCACTTCCTCATCCTTCCCACAGTAAATGAAATTTTAAATAAATGAAGTTCTATAACCAAAGCTGACAGTAATGGTGTCACTAGAAAGGCTAAATAATGAATTAACAATTTGGACAGTACTGTATTGATCTTCTTGTTGACAACAAACTATGTACATCTACAAAATGCACATAAAGTGCAGTTTAGATATTTAAAACAATGTTCATGCTTATGATTACAAATGCAGTTCAAAGTCAGGTAAACTCTGTTATCCTGTGATTTCTACATCTTTCTGACTTTTTCCATACAGAATCTGTATCTTACAATTTTATTTTTCACATTTTAAGACCACAAAGAGATGGATTATCCTGCAAAGGTCAGACATGGATTAAATCTGAATTTTCTTGCATTCAATAAAATTTGTATCCAGGACTTCATTCTGACTTACCAAATACAGAACAGGCAAAACTCTTGATCCAGCTCCTGATCCTATTTCAAACTTGCAAGAAAAATCAGAAAATCTATAGTTTTGATTCATGCTCTTTTCTATATTAGAAGTGTCTTTAATATATTAAAATAAAAAAAACCAAACAAATATAGTATAATAAAACACTTCTGAAATTAAAAAAAATATTCCTTTTCCAGTGTCAAGGTCTATTATATCTCTCTTCCAATCAGCTGAATAATGTTCTATCAAAGGCATTATAAGAAAGGAAGTTGAAGGACGAATACATTCAGGTCCATGGTATAATAATGGAAGAACATACAGTCAGAATATGTCTTTAAACATCTGATTAAACTACTTGTTTCTGAGATCTGGCCTGAAATGAAATAATGAAATACCATACTAGGGTCTGAATAAACATTTTGATATTATTTAGTATCCCCATATTAAACACTCAGATTTTCCTTGAAATGTAATGCAAATTTTATTGTAACAAGAACACAGTTTTTCTTCTGTGGCATGAAAATTTTTTTTCTTTTGTTTCATTTGTAAGTTAATGATGGGACAATGCTTGTATAGACATGGTACTTGATATTTTACTTCTTTAAAAGAAAAAATACTCCTCATTAAAAAAACCCCTACCAGTTAGATATCTAACTGGTAGTCTATATTGTATTCAGCTAGTTGCATGGGTAGATGCAGGATCTAGTAATCAATAGAAAAAGTGACTGATCTTAAGTTTGAGAGTGATTTATATTTGTAGGGTATTTCAAGTATATACCCAGGATCCCTTTTGTGCAGAATGAGAGAAAGGAAAAAAAATTCTTTATTGGTCAGGATAGAAATTCTTTATTGGTCAGAATAAATAGCACTGCAGTCTCATTCAAGTAACAACTAATCTTCAAATTTTCTATACAT